AAATATGAAGTAACGATGTAACGAACATTTGATTTCTAAATAAAAAAATTGACACCATCACTAACTGTTTAGTTATTAGTCACGTTTCGGAGTTTACAAAGTAATGTGACTCTGTGTTTGATAAGACACACCTACAACTGGGCAATAGAAACATTACCATAACATCAATAGCAACCACAAGGAACATTTCATCCTAGTAACAGATATTTCTGTCACCTGGATTGGATAAAAATTGAGCTACAGTCCTATATTTCCAGAATTGTCGTTGCTAGTCTCATGTTAAATGATTACAGTATCATTATTTACAATTTATACCCCAAAAAGATTGAATGATAACAAGTAGATTTGAGAATAATTTACTTTTCTGCCTTTAAACAATTAAGTTTTAAGTTTTATGATAATGTCAATTTTTAGTGTACACAAAAATAGCTTCCAAACTTGACTAACAACTAGTCTCTGAAATGAAAATATGTTACAGAGAAAAAGCTCACAATAAAAAAATATATATATAATGAAAAGGAGCCCTGAGACTTTCTTCATATTCAGAAGCTGTGGAAATCTAGACTTGCCACATGTTCTAGACTTGCATGGGCTTTCTTGGATATATTTGCTTCAGGGCCTGTATGACGGACTACTTCCAAACATGCTTTTTAAATCTTTATATGATTGTTTTCAGTTTCTAATATCTTGAAATCTGCCCAGTTTAAGTCTATCTAAGGACAAGACAATGTTTCTCAAGATATGATGTAGCCTGAAATGTTCTTTACTTATCTAGTGGTTGGAGAACTATTACACAATGTTTCCTCCGTAAATAAACAACACATGTGTTTTATGATCGAACTTTCAGAGGATCTGAAAGTATTTGTCACTTAATGGCATTTTGTTTCATGTGTATCCTGCGTTCCTAAAGTTTGCTTTCACACAGTTTGTTTAATGTTTGCAAGTTCAGTGTGTTTTATCCTGTGCTTGCTGGGGACTAGTTAGTCTACCCTGCATGTACTCTCAAGCTTGGTCATATGACTGCTTTCAAGGTGCATGTTGTTATGGGCTTAGGTGGTTATCCCTTGTTATAAATTAATGAACATTTCAGTGTTAGGATTCTATCTTGTCAGTTTGTTATATTTTCAAAAGCTTTCAATTCTTGTTGAATTCCCGTTGGTTTTATGCAGCCCAATTTGTTACCTCGGCAAAATAACACTCACTCAAATACAACTTGATCTATTTTTCAATACTTTTGTGAGCCATTTGCACCTCGTTACTGAGAGAGAGTGTAAAGGTGTCAGAGTTAGGTCATGTGGATTAGGAGTGCTTGGTTTCCCATGACAGACTGAAGTTCTGCTGGAAGTATGACATGTGCTGATGGATCCTGAAGTGCATTGTTCTGTAACAGGTTCCCACTTTCTGATAAACAAGAAGCCATTTACAGGCATCCTGCAAAAATAATATTTTAGTCCTTGTTGATTTTGATTACAGAGAACATGAAGATGTTGTCATTATATTTAAAGCCTTTGTGAAGAAGACAGAATGATCAATTCCATCGAGACACAATGGAATATTCAGGCACCCGTGTTGCTGTAAGGAGCAGGCTGTGTTCGGGGGGGGGGGGGATGCCACTACCTTCAGTCCCCACCATGATGTTGGACAACTACTCCCACTGACTGGCTGTGAAGCCATCATATTTCCCGTATCTGTTGGCTCAGCCTGTACCAACCAAGGACTAAATGTGTCAGACATTTCTGCATCACATCCCTTTGGGAGGAATTCCAAGCATGCATCAAGAATGTGTGTGAGTAACATTAGAAATATCACATGTAAAGCATTACCATGTCTAACTGTGAAAGTAGGTTCATGTTTCCCTCGCTCCTGAGGTCTACATGGAGCCTTCAGTTAGTTGCAGTGTATGCATAGAGACAGCCTCATCTTGATGTGGGCTTGCGTGTGATGCAACATGACTCGCCAGCATAACCTTGTCAGGTGCGTAGCATCATCTCCTTGTCCGGGATCTCCCCGTTCTGACGTCGGGTGCTGTAACTGACGTCATACTCCCAGAACAATTCCCACGACGACCTTCCTGGGTGATGATGCATCTCGTATTCAGCATTCCCATCCTGCTAGTGCCTTAAATAGCTCTAGCACTTGTCTCTTTAATACACCTGGTTATTTTTAGACTGGACAAGACAAAAATATATCTGTATTTTGTAGAAATTGATTCATTTGTGATGAATATTTTTGTATTTTTCGGTGCTTTAATGGGTATTAAATGTTGAAATCAAAATCTGCCCCACTTCCATGTCCTCCATGGTGCCTTGATGTGGACAAATGGTGACAGTTACTCTCATCTGCCCCACTTTCATGTCCTTCATGGTGCCTTGATGTGGACAAACGGTGACAGTTACTCTCATCTGCCCCACTTTCATGTCCTTCATGGTGCCTTGATGTGGACAAATGGTGACAGTTACTCTCATCTGCCCCACTTTCATGTCCTTCATGGTGCCTTGATGTGGACAAACGGTGACAGTTACTCTCTGCTGCCCCATGTCCTCCATGGTGCCTTGATGTGGACAAATGGTGACAGTTACTCTCATCTGCCCCACTTTCATGTCCTCCATGGTGCCTTGATGTGGACAAATGGTAACAGTTACTCTCTGCTACCCCATTTTCATGTCCTCCATGGTGCCTTAATGTGGACAAATGGTGACAGTTACTCTCTGCTTCCCTTCTTTCCTGTGTACCTGTAATCAACAGGTATGTGAAGTAGGGACTGTTGAGAGGTGTATAGCTACCATTCTGTGTTGAGTGGATGCCATCAGTGTAGAATGTTGGTGACCTGCTTCATATGTTAAGTGAATAATGCGTCATCAATTACGTTAAATACGATACGCTTTGATTGTGGTATAACGTTCTAGATACCACCACTCATTCACAAGAACGCAAGGTGTTGGCTATTTGCCATCAGTGACAGCAGTCGCCCACATCCTACAGCTCTGCTGCCATTGGCTGCCTTACCTTCTGTTGGATGGCACTGTTGTCTGTATATTGCATCATGTGTTATTAAACCAGCCTACGCTGAATGCAGGGACAGTTTTACAGTTTATATGTCAGACAGAACCTGCCTACATAGTACAACAATATAATGTTGGACAATTCTAATGTACTTAATGTACAGACAGCACTGGTCTATTTATTACGTATGTCAGACAGCACTGGTGTATATAGTACATATGTCAGAGATTATTGGTGTATATAGTACATATGTCGGAGAGTATTGGTGTATATAGTACATATGTCAGAGAGTATTGGTGTATATAGTACATATGTCAGAGAGTATTGGTGTATATAGTACATATGTCAGAGAGTATTGGTGTATATAGTACATATGTCAGAGTACCGGTGTATATAGTTCATATGTTAAACAGTACTGGTGTATATAGAACTGTCAGACAGGACTAGTGTGTACATTGTGTCAGCACTATTGTTATAAGGTTTTTGTGTCAGCACTATTGTTATAAGGTTTTTGTGTCAGCACTATTGTTATAAGGTTTTTGTGTCAGCACTATTGTTATAAGGTTTTTGTGTCAGCACTATTGTTATAAGGTTTTTGTGTCAGCAGCATTGTTGTAAGGTTTTTGTGTCAGCAGCATTGTTGTAAGGTTTTTGTGTCAGCAGTACTGTTGTAAGGTTTTTGTGTCAGCAGTATCATTATGGTGATCCTGTGTCAGCAAGTGTGTAATGTCTGTGTGTCTGCTGCAGACTGACTTAAGTGTTAAAGATTCGCTCTGGGGAGTGTGTGATAAATCATTTATCCCACACCCCAGGGGTTGTATGGATGATAATTGTCACCATTTGGAATGGAAATCATGCTCAAATTCCAGTGTGTGTTTTTTACAGAGAACCTGCTGTGAAGTGCACAAAAACGGAATTGGGGGAAAGCTTTCAAATTGTCAAGAGTTTTTACATCATTGCTATGAAATGAGAAACAAATGTGGTTGTTATGGCATCGGATTGTCACGTTCAGTCAGGTTGGCCAGCTTGCTTGGAAACGGATTATTTAGAGTGTGGATGTCAGCCGTTCATAATTCACCAGCCACTTTGGAAAGGGAGGAGGAAGCAGTGGAACCTACTTTAACATTTTTATTACTGTGAGACTTCTTCTTCATTTTTTCCCATGAAGTTGATGTTAGCCTTGAAAGCATGTCACTGGGTTTACACAGCTCTTAGGGCTGTGGAACATTCACAACTTGTCTGTGGTCTTCCAGTTGGTGTCTGCTTTCTTACTACGTATGTGATATGTGAATATTAATTCATTAATTCATTCACCTTAGATTGTATTTTTGGGTAAAATATATGATTACTGAAACCTTCACTTATTAATTCATTTTAAGATATTTTTGTTATGATGTGTGTTATTTCCATGTGTGACATTGTTACTTATGCCGTTACACCATGATGGTGTTGGTAGAAACGGGAACTACCAAATGTTCACCGTCACAGCTGACACACACAGATTGACATCTTCAAGTCTTACTTTGTTGTCACAGTTCCATCAAACAAATATGAACAATGCAACTACTTGACAGCGACTGATAATTCCTTCCTTCTAGACAATTAACTTGGATCAAGTCAGTTCTTGTGTTCCATTTATCGGAATTAGCTGTTGAATTAAACTCCCCAACCCATGAGGGAAGATGAAGATGTGATGTGAATGGACTTCTCCCTCAACCAGAGGGCCCTCGCATGTGCTTCCCACTTCATGGGGCAGCGCCAGGAATTAAGTGCCAGATTTACATAATCTAGTTCACTGAGGCGCACATAATTAACTGCAGCGCTGCCACAGATACGGACTTGGGTCACACCTTGCCATGAGTCACATCAAGTTCCTGGCCCAAATAACTGCAGATTCCAACTGGGGACCGTCCATCCCCACAAGGGACTGCTTCCTGTTTTGTTCAGAGTTTACTCATTCTAGATGTGTGTGTTATTTATTCTCCTTATCATTTCAGGTAAACTTGTATTTCCTGGGCAAGTTGTGTCGGGGACATGTGGAAGTTGTCAGGCACGTGTACCTGACCTCGACTGACATGGCGGAGGACCAACCCTCAGTGCTAATCGGTAGCAGCACCCACAGCACGCCTACAACAATAGACAACACACATTGTGTGTGGAGCTTAAAGCAGCCACTAGTGCACAGATGGTGGTCCTACTTTCTGGGGGATACAGATAGGTACTGGCAACTGTTGTGTGTGGTAGGTTATGCATCTCAGGGTGGACCTTTGGGTTTGGGATCTCAGGTTGGTGATGGCTTATGGGTGGGATGTGAGTTAGGGTGTAGATACACGGCAAGGACAAGGAATAACTAACTGTCAGTAGACTGTGCACATTAATACAAGGCCAAGACTTCTTGCCTGATCCTAATGAAAATAAGTTTGTCCCTATAATATAACAGTGGAGAGCAGGAGACCCAAACTGTCCGAACAGCACGCCACCGGTGTGTCTTTGACATTTGAGTGAATGTTGCCTGCTTGAGGTGTCTACATCTGGTACACATAAGAGTGTGCCATGTCCTTGGTTCTGGGACTCCGAGCCCACAAGAAAGGAACTGCAAGTACAAGGCTGTCATCTGCACAATGTCTGGAATTCACAGAGATATAAAACTATCTGTAAGCTGAGAGCAGCATTTGTTCCTGAAAACATCTGCGAAGCATGGATTAGGGACATGCAAGAATGGGGTTATGGGGAGGGGTGGGAGTCATGTTGGGGGTGGGGGAGGGTCACATGCAGGAGTGTTTCTGTAGGTGTGGTGGGGATGGGGGGGAGAAAGGTCATGGTGATAGGCTTGTCCCTGATGACTACCATGGGTGAAGGGGAAGAGCAAGATTTGTGTTTGTGTGGAGGTCTGTGTTGAGGGGTTTATGGTCTCAGGCGTAAAGGAAGTACCAGTTAATATGAATATTCATTGTCACAGATCCATAAATCACTGGCTGATGAATCAGAACATGCTGAAAGAAGGACTGACTGGGACATGTTTTTCTCCTTGGAAATTACATGTATATTTTCTTTGTTCCCAGTACAAACATTTACATTGTTTAAATACCGCTGCTGTCCAGAAAACGTACTGTTAGACAGGAGTGTTTGCTTATAATCTGCCTCAAGTTGTTGACAATGGTTGCAACTACAGTTGGACAACTGCTACTCTTTCACCACTGGCAGTGAGAATCGAACAAACATGTGTTCATCTTTTCATGATTAAAATTAGAAATACCAAATGATTTTAGTTGTTGTTTTTTCCAATAAAGAAATGAGATTTTATTTTATTCCATTCTATTGAGGAACAGAGGCGATATTCTTGAAACTACAAATATATGCACAGTAGGTACAAATAAGAGCTTCTATGTCAATTATCCTGAAACATATACATGTTCTTGGTTTGAAACATAATGGCATATGTTCACACTGAAACATATGACATGGTCTTGCTCATACTGAAACATACGTGGTCTTGCTCATACTGAAACATCATACACTGGTCTTGCTCATACTGAAACATACGTGGTCTTGCTCATACTGAAACATACGTGGTCTTGCTCATACTGAAACATACGTGGTCTTGCTCATACTGAAACATACGTGGTCTTGCTCATACTGAAACATAAGTGGTCTTGCTCATACTGAAACATACATGGTCTTGTTTACACTGAAACATAAATGGTCTTGTTCAGACTGAAACATAAATGGTCTTGCTCACACTGAAATATACATGGTCTTGTTCACACTGGAACATACGTGGTCTCGCTCATACTGAAACATACATGGTCTTGCTCATACTGAAACATATGTGGTCTTGCTCATACTGAAACATCGTGGTCTTGTTCACACTGAAACATACGTGGTCTTGTTCACACTGAAACATAAATGGTCTTGTTCACACTGAAACATACATGGTCTTGTTCACACTGAAACATAAATGGTCTTGTTCACACTGAGAACATACTGAAACACGTGGTCTTGTTCACACTGAAACATATGTGGTCTTGCTCACACTGAAACATACGTGGTCTTGTTCACACTGAAACATAGTGGTCTTGTTCACACTGAAACATATGGTTTTGTTCACACTTAGACGTGTGGTCTTGTTCACACTGAAACATACGTGGTCTTGTTCACACTGAAACATATGGTTTTGTTCACAATGAAACATACGTGGTCTTATTCACACTGAAACATACGTGGTCTTGTTCACACTGAAACATACGTGGTCTTGCTCACACTGAAACATATGGTTTTGTTCACACTGAGACATGTCTTGTTCACACTGAGACATTGACCATAACAGCAACAACTCTTTGTCAGTTTGTTAATTTATATTTTTATTTCGGGGGCTGTGATTTATTAAATTGATGTCATATATACAACCTGATTCTATGTCGTTGCTGAGATGGATGATGTGCAAATGTTGCACTGTGCTTTATGGGCTAATGGCATCCAGAGTCATTCACAATTTTTTGAGCTCATGTACAGAATGGGGTGGTTAAGTTCACTGCAAGAATGTCCAGGTGCCAAAGGTTTAGCATCGGTTGCCTAATCTTTGCCATATTGGAGGTATTCTTGCAGTCATTATCCCGGTTGTTTCTTTCTATTCTTGTAGTGCTGATGTAATAATGATTTCTTGAAGATAATAAAACCAAAGACTTAACCTCTAGTTCAGTTTAGAGAAAATATTCCTTTAGCTGGGAAAGGTTGCAATTTGTATTAATCCTGTTCAGCTTTGTTTTGTTGGTCAAATGTTTCATGTATCTCCATGTAATATGTAGATCTGAGAGTGTATATCCATGTAATATGTAGATCTGATAGGGTACCTCCATCTAATACGTAGATCTGATAGGGTACCTCCATGTAATATGTAGATCTGATAGGGTACCTCCATGTAATATGTAGATCTGATAGGGTACCTCCATCTAATACGTAGATCTGATAGGGTACCTCCATGTAATATCGTAGATCTGATAGGGTACCTCCATCTAATATCGAGAGGGTACCTCCATGATCTGAGAGGGTACCTCCATGTAATATGTAGATCTGAAAGGGTACCTTATGTAATATGTAGATCTGATAGGGTGCCTCCATGTAATAATCGTAGATCTGATAGGGTACCTCCATGTAATAATAGATCTGATAGGGTACCTCCATGTAATATGTAGATCTGATAGGGTACCTCCATGTAATACGTAGATCTGATAGGGTACCTCCATGTAATATGTAGATCTGAGAGTGTATATCCAGATCTGAGAGTGTATATCCATGTAATATGTAGTCTGACCTTCATGTAATACTCTAGATCTGATAGGGTGCCTCCATGTATTACGAGATCTGAGAGGGTACCTCCATGTAATATGTAGATCTGAAGGGTACCTCCATGTAATAATGTAGATCTGATAGGGTACCTCCATGAAATAATTAGATCTGATAGGGTGCCTCCATGTAATACGTATGAGATCTGAGAGGGTACCTCCATGTAATATGTAGATCTGAGAGGGTACCTCCATGTAATCATGTGAGATCTGATAGGGTGCCTCCATGTAATCACGATTAGATCTGATAGGGTGCCTCCATGTAGATCTGAGATAGATCTGAGAGGGTACCTCCATGTAATATGAGATCTGAGAGGGTACATCCATGTAATATGTAGATCTGATAGGCTGCCTGTAATATGTAGATCTGAGAGATCTGAGTAGTGTATCTCCATGTAATATGTAGATCTGATAGGGTACCTCCATGTAATATGTAGATCTGATAGGGTACCTCCATGTAATATGTAGATCTGATAGGGTACCTCCATGTAATATGTAGATCTGAGAGTGTATCTCCATGTAATACGTAGATCTGAGAGGGTACCTCCATGTAATATGTAGATCTGAGAGTGTACCTCCATGTAATATGTAGATCTGAGAGGGTACCTCCATGTAATCTGATAGTGTAGATCTGATAGGGTACCTCCATGTAATATGTAGATCTGATAGGGTACCTCCATGTAATATGTAGATCTGATAGGGTACCTCCATGTAATATGTAGATCTGAGAGGGTACCTCCATGTAATATGTAGATCTGAGAGTGTACCTCCATGTAATATGTAGATCTGAGAGTGTACCTCCATGTAATATGTAGATCTGATAGGGTACCTCCATGTAATATGTAGATCTGAGAGGTATACCTCCATGTAATATGTAGATCTGAGAGGGTACCTCAATCTAATATGTAGATCTGATCCATGTAATATGTAGATCTGATAGGGTACCTCCATGTAATATGTAGATCTGAGAGTGTATCCTCCATGTAATATGTAGATCTGATAGGGTACCTCCATGTAATATGTAGATCTGATAGGGTACCTCCATGTAATATGTAGATCTGAGAGTGTACCTCCATGTAATATGTAGATCTGAGAGTGTATCATCCATGTAATAAGTAGATCTGAGAGTGTACCTCCATGTAATATGTAGATCTGAGAGTGTACCTCCATGTGGACCCTCACTGTGATATCAGCTGGTTCTACAGGAAAACAGCTGATTTTAGTAAAGACAGATGCTGGCTCATTCTGAAGAGTATGCCATGATAAAACAAACAAATCAGCCTCTACAGTTTCTGTCTCCATGTTTTTTACACAAGTCAATCTGTTTTCAAGTCATTCCTCGGCCTTTCCAATAAACACTCATTGTACTGTCGTAAAGGCTTATGATTGTGACGTGTTTCTGATTGTGTGGCATGACAAGTATGAATGACTAGCTTGTAAGTTGGATTTAATTTTCTGTGTGAATAACTGGTTGTGGGAAAAAAACATTTGTCTGGACCATTGTGATACTTATAGTGACATTAGCAGAGGCGTGGGGAGGGACAGCTGGTGTGTGGTGTGTGACGCTGTTGTCTGACCAGATGTCTACTCACACGACTCTACACAACTCATCTTTGGAAACGGATGTTCGAGGTATTCCGTGATAAACTGATATCGTATGAAATATAGAATTAAATGTAGCCTTGCTCCCAGCCCAGGCTGACCAGTATATGGTAGGGAACACCAGAGTTGAACTGTTTATTACTCCTGTAGACATTAGTTCAGGAATATCAGGAGAAATGTATGTTCAGCAAACAAGTGTTGTTCAAGTCACACTGATATGAACACTGGGGACGTGAGTATGGAAGCAAGTGGCACATTTTGGATTAAATCTCTCTACTGTGGCCTTGTCTCACAGTGTGAGTGTCTGAGTTAAGTCTTACGCCGCACTCAGCAATATTCCAGCCATATGGCAGCAGTCTGTAAACAATCGAGTCGAGACGAGGCAATCCAGTGATCAACAGTATGAGCATCAATCTACGTAATTGGGATATGATGACATGTGTCAACTAAGTCAGTGAACCTGACCACCCGATCCCATTATTCGCCTCTTACGACAAGCATGGGTTGCTGAAGACCAATTCTAACACGGATCTTCATGGATCCTCATCTCAAAACTTACTGGACTGTGGTCAATATAGGCCGTATGTCACAACTTACTGGACTGGGGTCAATATGGGCCGTATGTCAGAACTTACTGGATTGTGGTCAATGTAGGTCGTTTGCCTCCCAACATTGGCTGACAGTTTGAGGGGATGAGCGCATGTCATCAGGGTGAAATGTCTTGCTTGATGCATGTACTTCTGCAAGGTCATCAGCGATTATCTTTGCAGTTCCATACGTAGTCTGTAGCAACCTAAACTTGCTCTAACCTAATCTGACCCTTCACTTTGCTGACCCTCTACCAAACCGGAGCTTAACTAACTCTGATTCTTACCACCTGTGAGCCTTACCAGTTATGACCCTTGTCATACTCTGGGTCGTTCTTTCTGTGATCCTCACTGATCCTCACCTACTGTATGTTTCACCTTCATCTTCACTGCTCTGTCCCTTCTTCCTCTCTGTGCCCTTAACCACTTCTCTGTCCCTTCCTCTCTGTGCCCTTAGCCACTTCTCTGTCCCTTCCTCCTCTCTGTCCCTTCCTCCTCCTCTCTGTCCCTTCCTCCTCTCTGTGCCCTTAGCCACTTCTCTGTCCCTTCCTCTCTGTGCCCTTAGCCACTTCTCTGCCCTTGCCCTCTTGAACACACTTTTTGACCCCACAAATCCACCTGGACTCCACCTGTGATAACGTTAGGTGTAGTCTACGAGAAAATATTCTGCATCTACATTAGAGCTGTGTATCATGGCCGAAGTGGCAAGACGATATATCCCGATACCAG